TTTTAAATTCGACTTGTGTTAAGAAAGGTAGAGGTAGACCTAGGAAGACTTGGGCTTATTGTATTAAAAATGATCTTAATTTACTAGAACTAAATGAAAATATGACACTAAATAGGACGCAATGGAGAAAAAGGATTCATGTAGCCGACCCCACGTAGTGGGATTAAGGCTTTGTTGTTGTTGTTGTTGTTTGTGTGAGTTATAACAACTTAATTAGCTTTTCAGTAATAATATTTGAATTTTCTATTATGATTTTGGTTAGATATCAATATGACTTAAATATTTAATAGCTTGGTGGTTAAAATGGAGAATTGTCCCTTGACAATATTGTTTGAGAAGACAATATCATGTAGACTTAAAATGATACATTTATAAAATTATAATTAGGCGGGTTATTTGGTATGGATTTGAGCATTGGATGGTAAAAAAAAAAAAAAACAGAGGTTATAAGATGCAGCATAAAATAAACAGATAAAATTACTATCAATGGGCTAGAAAAGAAAATGGATAAAAGTTGTGCAATAAAATGTGCTTTATCCCAGATTGCATTTAACATGAACAAACAATGGATGAGAACTTAGTTATCCTTGAAGAGATGGGACAATTTTATTTTTGATGTTGATGCATGGCACTTGGAAATGCTTAGCTAAGATATATATTTACAGCCAAGCTCTTTGTGGTTCCATTGTTGAGCAAAAATTCATGTACATTATCATGTTAATGGTTCATAGTTCAACTGTATCGTAAGGATGACCAATGCTCTGTTTTTTCTTGGAAAAAGCAGGTTTATATTATTCAACTGAAACTGAAGAAACTTGGAGAACTTAGTTTACCCCTTTAATTGTGTGCATTATATTGCAACATCAAAAGGAGAAAAAATAAGAAAGCAGAGATTTGGTGTGCATTAGCTACGCATGAAAAAACATTGATGCCCTACGATTTAGAAATTAGAAATATCAAGCAGTTAGGCTAGAAATCAACTTAAAAAGGTTTAGCCATATCCTAGTTTCATATGTCACAACTTATAAGGTACCATCATTACTTGATTTAAATCGAAATATTGAACTGAACATACTTGGTTGACTTGATTTGGTTTATGAAATCAAGATTTGATTTTTTATTCCAAATTAGAGTTATTTTGATTTTGGTGATTGATTTGTTTCTAAAAAAATTCGGTTAAACCAAAAAATCAAATTATTTTGCGGTTACACCAATTCCGTCAACAAATTCACTTAACAAATCTGTCAACCAATCAATCCAAACTTGCAGAATGTACATATTTTCGTTAGAAATTTAATTCTTTTTAAACCAAAACCGTACCAAATATACCAATTTATATTTTGGTTCAGCTTGGTTCAATTCAAAATATTATTTGGTTGGTTCGGATTTATCTGATATTCGGTTTGGTTTTGTTGATTTAACAAATTTATTAACCGAACCAACTGATTGCACACCAAGCATGATGAGTGCATAGGGATTTGATGCAATACTCTGTGGACATGGCATATATGTATATATATGTAGAGAGAGAGAGAGAGAGAGAGAGATACACATACACATATTGTATTCATGTCTAATCCACACCTAAGGGAATCAAGGAGAACAATGGTTCACTTACAGCATGTCTCAATCAGAGAATATAAAGGGGGATTGCACACCCTGATGGAATCATCTTCCGTTAAAAGAGAGAGAAATTAGATTTTAAGAACTAAAATTCAAACTAAAGCGTCGATGGTCTTAAATTTTAACAACATGGCATATGCTTTTAATTAACAACTGTAAATTGTTCAGGAGGCTATGTATTTTGAGAGTTAGCGTACTTTGGACAACATAACATACACTACTCTTGGAGGGTTTTGGATCCGGTCCTATTTTTGTATTGAAGTTGTGGCCAACTCTTATAATTATATATATGTTTGTCGGAACAATTGGGTTGATATCCTCTCTTCTTCAGCAAGGGAACCATTCACAGTAAGTCACTCTTATGCAAGTTTATATGTTGTGAAGTTTAAAAACATGCATTTAGCGTATTTATTTGCTTGACCACACAGTGTCAATGAGCATAGTAACTTGAATGTATATGCACTCCTATGGGCTTGGGTTTTGAAAATAATACAAATATAGCATGGTTTCTTGTCTCTTCGTTATGCTTAATGGACTTCAAATCACTTAAATACATTTGGTTGGGAGATTCCCAATTCATTCACTTATGCTGTCTTTTTTTTTGTCAATGTAGATAATATGAAAACCCATATCACAGGTTTCTAATCATTCCTGCATAGCAAGTGAAATTCTAGAGCATCTTGCAGAAGAAATACCACTAATATCTTCCATGAGAAGGGCATCAAAACATTATTACGATGTTCTTTTCTTGAAGTGGCAGTTTTTGTTGAATGCTGCGTGGTATCTTGATTATTATCTATAGTTTATATCTGTATGTTTTACGTTCTAGACACTGAAACTGCCAGTGAGGATCAGGGGTGCATTTGCTATTAAGATTTTACTCTTGCATGTTAGAGTGGGAGCTCAATTTTTGTAGCGAATCTCACTTGGATTTTTTCTTTTTTGTTTCAGGTATTGTACAAGCATAAAATAATCATTTTTGGTGGCTTTTATGACACACTAAGAGAAGTAAGGTTGTCTGGTTTACCAACCATCTTGCTTCTTACTATATTCTATTTTTTAAGTTTATTGTGCGGGTGGCATTCTTTGTTCGGTTAACTGAGTAACTCACTTCTAATGCAATGCCTTTTTCTGTCGCTTGATACGTTTTTGTCTCCACGATTTCAACAAAGTACACAACCAGCATGCACGGTTAGACTTGGGCATATTGTATTAAAAATGATATTAATTTATTAGAATTAAATGAAAATATGACTCTCAAGAGGACACAATGGAGAAAAAAGATTCATGTTGTCTATCACATTTAGTACAATAAAGGCACGCTGTTTTATTTATGTTGATAACTTTAATTTAGTTGGAAAAAATGTAGTTTCCCCATGAAAATTTGTAATTATTTGTCCCAGGCAATTAAGCACTAAAAATGATTGCAAATAAGTGTCTGTCTTGTTTATAGTTGCTGTTTATAAAAGACTTTGCCTTTCCTTCTACCCTTTTTTTATTTTTAGTTTTGCCTTTTAAATTGTTGGGGCAGTAGTTGCCGATGCAGTAAATCTTTCTTTCCACTTCTGCCACATCGTGTGTCATTGCTTTAGGCATTATCTTAACCCCCGAAACATGATGATAAACTTTGGAATGTAGACGGAAGCTTCAAGAAACACATCCATCATGAATCTGTCGGAAAAAAATTGCATGCTTCAGAAATCAGAGTATCAAACAATTTCTGTCAAGGCCTAGTTATAGGTTTCTAATTTAAAATCTTGAACAAGGACCTGGATTTCAATTCTAAATTAAACAATGACTTTCATACTGTCTTTGAAGCATCTCCTGGGATTTTAACCTGCATTTGGAGAAGCTTCTTGTGATAATGAGGTCACGGCTGATGTTCCACCACCATGCCAACTTAGTAGTTTCAACAACATTATCATAGGGGCCGCTAGGTACCATGCAAATGACTTTACCTTTATTCAATGGAAGCCTGCGCATGGATAATATCCTTTACTGGATTTATAAATTTGAGAGATTTCGCTCCAGTGAATAAAAGTTTTGGAAGAGTGGCAAGTTTAACCAGATGACATTGACTAGGTATTGTGAAACCAATTCAAACTTTATTGGCATAGATTTTAATTTGACTTTTAAGTTGAGGAGTCAATCAGGATATCACCTGCATGTCAACTTTGATTCTTGCTTTGAATCAAATACGGCTAAATATAGAATTGATGCCGGATAACAGATGCAATGCTGTAAAAATGGACTCCACAGATCTTCATTGCGATCAAAACTTTTTAATCATCACCAATTTGCTTTGTTGATGCATTTGAAGCTTTGAATTACAAAAAATGGTCCCCCGCCATGGATTCAATCATTCATGACTGAAACAATGGCCAACTGACATGATGTTGCATAACTCCAACTCAAAATGCATAGCATAAAACATAAGTATGTAATCATTTGCTAATTTACGGAAGAAATTGTATCAATGTGTTCAGACCATCTAAATTACCTAAAGGTACATTCGTATTGCTCGGGTCACTGCACAAAAAGCTTCAAAAATTTACTTGCAGGAAGATGAAGAAATATTGATGTGCACATGCAATATAAAACTTTGGTAGGAAAGTTGACACATATTTAAACTACTACTACTACTACTAATAAAAATAATAATAATTGGAGCATTTACATACACACCGCCCAATTCATGTGTATTTATATATCACACACCTAAATTTTAATTTTCACATTTATACCACCCAAATCTTTTATATCACATACAAAATACTACTATTTTAACGTTTAAAAATTGAAATACAACTTTTCATGCATAACGTGTCATATATGTAAAAATTAAAGTTTAGGTGTTATATTTGTAAATGCATAGGAATCGAGTGGTATGTAAGTAAATCTTCTAAATAATAATGATAATAATATTAATAATAATGATGACTACGATAATGATGATGATATCAAAAGTATTATCTAATTTATTTAAAAAAATTAGCCAAAAATAATTTAATTAAAATTAAATCAGTGTAAAAAAGAAAAAAAAAGAAAAGAGAATAATTAAAATTTTTTTTTTGTTAAATGTTATAAATCTTTCTTGATGCAACGGGGGATTTTGTGTGAAAAATTTTCATGTATATATGAAGAGTCACATATGCCTTTTTTGGCATGATTTAGTAGAAGCAATGTTTAGAATTGCACAATTGGGTATTAAGGTATTTTCATTTTGTGAGGTGAGGCATAAGCCTCGAGACGGATTGAGGCTTAAGCTTCACAATTTGAAAATTACGTATGTTAAAATAAAGGGATAAAAAATAATACATTAGTATCATAACAGAGGACCTCCTTCATTGCACACTTTGAATCTTATGAAACTTTATAAACTTAGACTCATATGATAAAAGATAGATTCCACCGGAACATCATTAAGACGAAATTGTCACCTCTCAAATCACAAAAAAATGATTTTAACTTATATAACTTTCATGATTGGATTTGCAACACATGCCTGAAACTAGAGAGAATATTGTGTTTAAGAAATTCAAGATGAAATATTGCACACATCCTAATGTTAAAAACATTCATGGAAACAATACAAATTATTACTATAAATTTCAAATAGCTTTAAGTTATGCAAATACCTAGTTAGATAACTCTTAGACACAACATAATGCTAAAAACATGAAAATATAGTATTCAAATGAACTAAAAAGATGCAAGTGCATCATTTAATTGCACTGAAATACATGCAATATATATCATGTAAGCACATAAAAAATTATGCAATTGTGCCACTTGAATGCATTGAAAAAATTGTAAATATGTCAAGAAGCATAGTTTTTTAAAATACACGGCTTGTTGCTATGAAAAAAAATATTCTTACATGAGCTTTTACAAACAAGTTAGATGTTGAACATAAACATGCTAAATTTTTGAAGATAAAGTCAAAGATGAGGTACTTACTAGAGATGAGATAAACTCAAATTTGTTCTACCTTGAGAGGTATGCAATGCTTTAATAGAAGTGCAATCGTTTGAAAATGTTAAATATCTTTTTCATGCCCAATTTCAAACTTTACACATGCATATTTCTCATGCAGGCTACAAGTTCGATCTTGTATTAAAAATGATTTAAACTTATATTCTTGATCTAATATAAAAAACTCATCATTACAGTCTTGGAATCAAAAACTTTTATATGAATCTTACAAAAGCTATTTTGTCTTTCAGTTACACGCAACCTTCATGATTGTTTATGAGTTAAACTCATTTTTAAATAAAAGAAGCTCTCAATATTATTAAACTTGTAAAATGCAACAATAAGTTTTACTTAAAGCCTAATCCTCTATAATTGGCAGTAGATTGATGATGCTAACAAAATAAAGAATTTTTAATTGAATTTAAATCATATGTTCATCACAGACCTGATCCTCTACAAGTAATTGGAAAGAGTCAATGTAGTCCAAAATAATTACAAGTCCATCATTGCAGCCTGGGAATCAAACATGTTTATGTGAATCCTACAAAAGATAATGTCTTTCAATTACATGCAGTCTTCATGGTTGTTTATGAGGTAAACTCGTTTTTAAATAAAAAAGCTCCCAACATTATTAAACTTGTAAAATACAACAACAAGTTTTACTTAAAGCCCAATCCTTTATAACTGGCAATAGAGTTGACGATGCTAATAAAAATAAAGAATTTTTAAATGATTTTAAACCATATGTTCATCACAGAGCTGATCCCCTACAAGTAAGTGGAAAGAGTGCAGTCCAAAATAATTAAATGAAATTATTCAAATACCTCAATGATGTTCATGTTTATAGAAAATTTCAATTATAGTGGATATCATCATCAAAATGCTCAAAATTCTAATGCAAATTATTTTTGGCTTAAACCACGATAATAATTGATATTTTTGACAATTATTCAAGTAAAATCTAGTGCTTAAAGCCTAAAGCTTAAACCAACAATCCGTTCACTCTCAATAATATCTTATCAGGAGTGATAAATTTAAGATTAATTTTAACTCACAAAAATTAATGTCATATTAGAAGTATTTTTTCTTTTAATGGTCTCACATCAATAAGGACATTATATGTGTTTTATGACATTATGATTTTGCCTCCAAATCACATTATGAAGCAAAAAATCTATGTTGGGGCTCCTTAATAAACTTGTTTGTCTCAGAATGACATTATTAAATTATAATCATGGTCAGAGCCCTTAAATTTTCTAATGACCTAAATTTTTTGAGCTGTGAATGATGAAGTGTACTTGATAGGGAACAAAGCTCTTTATTAGTTATGATTTACTTAAAATTGCACCTTTAATAAAACTTTCATCTTATGTGTATGAGATCTTTTAGACGATTCATCTCATAACTGCTTAGAAGGATCTTTTGATCAGATTTGGTTGATAATCTCATTTAAGTAAACTATGGTCCACAACAATCTAGGATGGCATAATCATTTCATTTTAACTCACAAAAATTAATGTCATATTAGAAGTATTTTTTCTTTTAATGGTCTCACATCAATAAGGACATTATTTGTGTTTTATGACATTATGATTTTGCCTCCAAATCACATTATGAAGCAAAAAGTCTATGTTGGGGCTCCTTAATAAACTTGTTTGTCTCAGAATGACATTATTAAATTATAATCATGGTCAGAGCCCTTAAATTTTCTAATGACCTAAATTTTTTGAGCTGTGAATGATGAAGTGTACTTGATAGGGAACAAAGCTCTTTATTAGTTATGATTTACTTAAAATTGCACCTTTAATAAAACTTTCATCTTATGTGTATGAGATCTTTTAGATGATTCATCTCATAACCGCTTAAATGGATTTTTTGAGGAGATTTGGCCGATAATCTCATTTAAGTAAACTATGGTCCACAACAATCTAGGATGGCATAATCATTTCATTTTGATCTAGTTCGTCACTATTTTCCCAATCATCCATTCTAACCTAAATATCATATTATTATTTAAATCTAAAAGTCTAAATCCAAATTTCTTGCTACTTTACATAAAGTATTTAACATCTTTTGACTATCCATGATCCGAAGTTCTCTTTCATTGTCAGGAGGGATAATTAACCATTTAAGCTTGAGCTTATGTTAATTTTGGTGCTAGATAATAATGTTCTTGTAGAATGAGGGTGAAATTTTTGTTAATGCTTTGTTATTTTACATACTAAAGAAGGATGAAAAAAATTGCTGAACAGCATATAACCATATGACCATGGGATACAACCTTACATGCCAACTTGTCCAGTCTTAGCAATAGTGTATTGTAAGGTTTTTGAAAATTAAAGGAGAGAAAAATCATTTGCAAATGATGTCTAGCATTTAATGCTAATTGGTGGCTTGGGTGCTACACTGACATAATAGAGGGCTTCTTGGGCATTGGTGTTGAATAATATTGCAGGTTTTCACTATTGGGGATTTCTGGATGCAATTAAGGTAGTTCTTGTCTATAAAATGCGTGCGCTAATAGTTTACTCCCACCTTTGATTGGTAGGAATATTAGTTGCTGATACGTAATTACTTTTGCAACATTCGAGCTAGATAATTGTTTGAACCCATTGTGAAGGACCCAACTGGACTATTATGTTTGGCTCAAATTTTCATAGTTTTCTTTTCTTATTTTATTTTGGATAAATTAACTAAGAGAATATTTGTTAACATGATCTTGTCATATTACAAAATAAGAGGAAAGGTTAACTCCTGTTCAACGAATTTTTATTTCTTATGTTCTTTAATCTTTGAAAAAGCTTGTTGATGTGCGGCTTGCTGTTCATACCGAAAAACCAATCCTTTTGTTAAATTACTGAATTTATTCATTTTAAAGTTATTTTTGGTATTATAATCTCACTTTTCTTGTAGAACTGCTCATATTTCCGATGAAAACTACCACAAACAGTGCCACAAAATATCATCCCATATTGTTTGGGGGATGTTTTTGGTGTTGGGTGTTAGGGAATATAGTTGGTTAGGGGATTATGAGGAGGATAGTGGTTGGGAGCTAGGGAATATAAGGTTTTTTGCATATAATGCGACTTACCATAAATTTGATCCAAAAAGTGAGGTGGAGTTAGATAAATAAATATGAAGGCTTAGGTCTAAATAACATAACTAGTGGGTTTTAAAGGTTTATAAATGACAATGAACTAATTTGGTTGACAAATTTTTTTAATAAAATATTGAGAACGATTATGACTCCAAATCCATAGAAGATAAAAGTTGATACTTTTTCCCAAAGGGACGGAGATGCTCTCAATTTGATATTTATAGAGGAATTAAACTTATGAAGTTGTAAATGAGTTAAATAATTGTGTAAATATTGAAGGATTAATTTGTTTTTATTATAATAAAGTTTTCTATGGATGTGAATATTTGCACATGACATCATGAAAAATATTGGGAATTAAAAAGGATTTTCATATGATTTTTAGTGATATGGAGAAGAATAGCATGCATTAAGGAAAAAATGTGTGTTTAAGTGGAGATTTTGAAAGATCTATATCACAGAGCATTGACATTAGTTGTTATGGAGTACCCAAGGAGTTACCAACCATGGTGAGCCTACATTAAGGATCAATCTTAAGTCGTATTATCATCATCATCATCTTGAGGAACAATGGAATATATTTAGAGGATAGAGGGATACTTGGGTGTGATAATTTAAGTATTTTGGATATATTTTATAAAAGAGTAAGGATATAACTTCTAGAGGCATGGTTTGGTGGTTAAAGTGAAGGAATGTTTAGGAATATTGTTCGATATGAGAATATTAGGGAGACTTGTGGGAAGGTTTATATATTACAATCAAGTTGATTATATTGTATGAATTTGAGTGTTGGATTATAATAAAGTAATTGATAAACAACTTGAGTACGGTAAAAATTACACTTTTAAATTGATGTGTGGTAACATTAGAAAAAAAAAAAGGTTGAGAAATGATTATATTAGAGAAATGGTATAAATAAAAATCCATTTCATATAATTTAGCAAAAATATAATCAATTTGTTTGAGTACAATGAACTTATGAAGATGCAAGTAAAAGGCTCACATATAATATTATGGTAAAAAGGATTATATATAAAATGGGCCAAAGATAACTTGGATTAAATTTATGTAAAAATTTTGCACAAGTACTTTTAATATCCGTTGCAACACTTTTTATTGAGGAATGAATAATGCTGACTCATAAAGCTATTCCAAAATACTTGGGATTAGGAGAATGATAATGATGGGAGAAATTTATTTCATGCTCTTTCATTCATCATTTTTCATGGAGGGAAGAACTAATAAGTACTCCTAGAGAGAGATTTTGAAATTTATTCACTCCTTTACATTTGGCCATAGAGGGATGAAAAGAAAATGTGGCTTTTTCCTTGTACTCACTCTGTGAATTTGTTTCAGTCCTTTTTAAACATTTTTCCACGGCATAAAATTTTAGTGTTAGTATGTTTTCATGCTGAGTTAAGTTGAAAACATGTAAAACATAGCTGTGATTGGCAGTTATTATAAGGTGTGATATCTTGGAGATATGTGATATTTATTCAATAGTATTGAACATTATTTTCATATTAGATTTTACTTGTATTTGAAGGTTGTATTGGTTCTTGCAGGTATTATAATGACTTGCACATGTTTGATCTTGATCAATTCAAGGTGAGCCTTATTTTCTATCTCTAAACCCTCCTCCCCGCTTGTCCCTTCATTGCAATAATTAATATTGTTCTCATTGATATCACAAATAATTACTTAATATTAACCGATTTTGTCAGTTTCCTGGGTAACCAAGTTTTGAATATCCATGATATTATGCTCCTATATTTTTTGGCATATCAATCAATCATCAAATTTAGTCTACATATTCTATGAAGCTTGTGATTTTTTCCACAAACATCTTGTTACTTGGATATCTACTAATGCAAGTTTCTAAAGGGCCTCTTCCCGTAAGCAGCCTTGGCCACTAGGCTTACCATGTAATCTTAAGGGAAATTTACTTGCATACCACACAATTTTTATGTATTTACATATATAACACCCAGAGTTTGATATTACACTTATAGCACATTGGCATCATAAACTTTTGCATGAAAAAGTGTATTTTATTTTTAAAAAGATAACGATTGTGGTATTTTTGATGTGATGTTAAAAATTTGAAGGACATGCATGCAAATATTGAGTTTTATATGTTAGATATGTAATTACATAAGATGTGTGTGGCAGATATGTCAATGCCCCTAATCTTAAATAAATGAAATTAGCTCATGTGTATTGAGTTTTTGACACATGTTACGGAACTGTTGGGTATGTCATTAATCCTGATATAAGATTGCTATCCTACTGAACTTTCAATGAAACTATCATCCTGGTTTCATTGGCTAGGAACTATAGTAACGTTTGCAGTCTCTAATGGTATGGATTATTGATTATCTTACATTAATCTGATCTTTACTTCAGCCTTTTTTTGCAAATTTAAATTTGTAACCTCATCTAGGCTTAATCTAATAGATGATATTCAGGTGGAATACTCTCAACATGAATACCATGTTCTGTGGGCCTTTTACAAATAAGAATTATTAGTAGGGTATCCGCCTTATTCCAATAGATGCCATTTTAGGTTGATTTTTCTCAACATGAACACATGTAACTGTGAGCTTAACTTAATCGTGGGATTAAATAATGCTATGTGGAATAGAATTAAATGGACCCAAATTTATTTGCACGTGCCTCGATCAATATGCTAAATGTTCAAACATATTGTCAGAGAATGTTGTGTAAAAATCAATTCAATTTAACCTACTTTAAAAAATTTGCACATCAACAAATTTATAAAAGTTTATTTGTTCATTTATGTAAGACCTACGAGGCTTTTAATAAAGAGAATATATTTTATAATGAAAATCATTTATACCCTTGTATTCATGAAGTGTCATAATGACTCTAGCATCTTTTATCTGGACCGGTTCTATTCGGGATTATTGAGGGCTGATCAACCCTCTAGTCTTGGGAGTGTCGGCTCTTTTTGTGAGGGAGCACACTTCCTAGTTATCTAGAAATATATATTTGCTTTTATTGATATTTCGGGTCTAGCTTTTCTGTGATTTGCTTTCGGATAGCAGTCAACGTTTTCTTTTCCCTTTATGGGCTGTATCCTGTGGTTTCAAGTGGTGCTCTAGTTTTATCTTGGTTTCCAGGAGGTGTTTATCCTTACTATACTTTTCCCCCATTCTTTTTCACATCGCTCCCGCATTTTGTTCATTTTCTTACTTGCAGCCGCCACTTAAAACAAACCTTCTACAGCTGTGGCTACTTGCCCCTTACTGCCGCCACCCTGAACTGTCAACTCTTTGCTGCTGCTGCTCCAAACAACCCTCTCGCATCTGTTTTTGCTGCTTACTTGTTGTCCGGACTCCTGGAAACAACTTTCTTGTTGTTTCCAACTTGCTAACCGCCTCATTGCTATTACCCCGAAGGTCCAAACCATAACTGATACAACCTACACCTTATTCCCTTGTATTTAATGTTGTTAATTGCTTTCAGTTTGTTGTATTTTAAATTTCTGACTTATATAAAATTACCAATGGTTGTGTTGTGTTTCTTCTCATCTTATTTTCATATCGATTTCGATATCATTTGGTATCAGAGCTAGCCTAACCCTAGCTTCATCCTAGTGTTACCAAAATCCATGAATATCTAACCCAAACTACACCCAAAACTCTTCATCCTTGCTGATTTTTCAAATCAACCACCCTAATTTTTTCCTCCACCCTAAACCACCCGCATACACTTTTTTTTTCACCCCTTGAACTCTGACCTTGCCACCGAGGAGGTAGGTATTGGTTACCAATAGGGACCTTATCGTGTAAAAGATATAGCGGGAAATCCACCGACTTCAACAAAGGCTTGTTGAATTTGAGGATGAGACCAACGATAATATCACCATTGATCGTGATAGTGATGCTCACAGAGGAGAGGGTGTGGATAATTTGAATCCCTTCCATATGGATGATTTTAGTGGAAAGGAGGACATGCCACGATGCTTTGGGCTTCTATATCAGAAGAGGCCGAGGAATGAAGCTTCTTTTTGAAGGCATGGAGATATGAGAGTAAAGGTAGATTTGCTGGATTTCGAGGGGAGAATAAATTCAGATGACTTCATTGAGTAATTGTAGAATATGGAGAGGATTTTTTAGTAAAAGGTGCCAGCTAATAGTAGTGAATCTTACTGCCATAAAACTGAAGAAGAGTGTCACTCTGTGTTGGGAGAATTTGAAGAGGGTGAGGTAGAGAGAATGTAGGTGCAAGATCACCGCATTGGAGAAGATGAAGAAAAAGATGCAAAGAATGTACTTACCCCCACACTGCAACCAAGACATGCTCTTGAAGCTTCACCACCTACAACAACGTGAGTTGTCAGTGGAGGAGTTCACAGTAGAGTTTGAGCAATTCATGCTGAAATGTGAGCTTGCAGATTCAGAGGATCACACTATAGCCAAATATTTGAGAATACTGAAGCCAACCATCATCGATGTTGTCCAATTATAGTCTTATTGGTTGTTGGGCTATATTCAGATCTTGCCACTAAAGTTGGAGAGACAACCGAAGTAGAGCAGGCACCCACAGCTGGAGGTATCAACAAAATCACACCTAAGGGAAGGTGTGAAGGTTGGTCAGAGGGAATACAGGGTTGATCAGAGCGGGAAGAAGCCTAGGAAGAGTTGCACACCCAACATAGTTCCAACCAGGCAGTGCTTCAGGTGTTTTGGATATGGACACATAACTAGTAGAGTTGTTTCCTTCACCGAGTAAGGTGCATTGGAGGAAGTGAGCGAGGATGTAGTAGAAGACCAGGGTGAGGAGTAACAATTTCACAGAGATGAGGGTGAGATGCTAGTTGTGAGAAGGGTTCTGCAGACTAAACCAAAGACGCATCACTCTTGGTTGAGACAAAATTTTTTTCACATATGGCTGTGAGAGGGATGATATGCAACTTTATTATTGGAGAGAGTTGCTAAAATGTGTTCTCTACTCATGGTGAAGAAGTTGGTCTTGGATACTCATAAGCATCTCAACCATATTTTTTGACCTGGTTGAAGAAGAGGAATGACATACGCGTGGATCAACGATGTTTGGTAGAGTTCTCTATTGGGGATCAGTTGCAGGACTATGTATGGTGTGATGTTGTGCCTATGACTGCCTGTCACATTTTATTGGGGAAACCATGACAGTTTGATTGCGGACTTAGTATGATTGGTTCAAGAATGCCTATTCATTCACGAAGGAAGATATGCACATTGTTATTCTGCCCATCAGAAAGTCTGGAGGAGCTTACACTCACTTTGAAGATGAGATTGTGGTCGCATGTGCCACTTTTCTACAATTAGTGCGAATGACCTCGGTGATGATGGCCTTTGTCACCCAAGAGGGGATTGAAGAGGAGACTGAGTTACCAGAGAAGATAAAACCACTTAGAGTTGACATTATAGGATGTGATGAGTTACAGCTTACCTAAGGAACTACCACCACTTAGAGACATTCAATATGTTATGGACCTTATCTCTGAAATGATGTTACTTAACATGCGTACTTACAGACTGAGACCAACTGATATGAGGAGTTGCAATGACAATTACATGACCTTATTGCTAGATGATTAGTGAGGAAGAACACCAGTCAATGTGTTGTTTCTGTTTTGACGGTGCCTAAAAAGGATGATTTGTGGAGGATTTGTATTGATAACCGAGCTATCAGTAAGATCACCATCAAGTGCATATTCCATATAACTTGACTGGATGATTTATTGGATGTATTGTATGGAGCTATCATCTTTTCCAAGCTTGACTTGTGCAGTGTATATCATCAGATCAGAATGAAGCCAGTGAATGAATGGAAGATTGCCTTCAAGACTAGCGATGGATTGTATAGTGAACAATCATTCCCTTTGGACAATCCAATGCACCTATTTTTTGAGGTTGATGAATCTGGTGTTTACGGCTTTTGCTGGAAAGTTTGTAATTGAGTACTTTGATGTTATTCTAGACCACAAAAAATTTGAGGTGGAGCACTTGCAACATCTGAGGATGATCTTTGAGGTTTTTGGTTGGAGAAGGTATATGCATAGACAAAGAAGTGTCACTTCATGACGACATATGCATGTATTCTGAGTTATATTGTATCGATGAAGGCATTTAGATGGACCTTATGAAGATAGAGGCTATTGTGAGTTGGACACTCCCACAGTCCTATATAAAGCTGAGGTAGAGACACGGGGCTGATGGGCTGGACCGACCAGCCTTCTAATGGTGCGGGAATTATCGCCCCTTCACTCTCTTATTTCCTATTTTACTTCTTAGACTATAACAGATTTGAGGTGGAGCACTTGCTACATCTGAGGATGATCTTTGAGGTTTTTGGTTGGAGAAGGTATATGCACAGACAAAGAAGAGTCACTTCATGACGACATATGCATGTATTCTGAGTTATATTGTATCGATGAAGGCATTTAGATGGACCATATAAAGATAGAGAATATTGCGAGTTGGACACTCCCACAATCCTATATAGAGCTGAGGTAGAGACACAGGGCTGATGGGCTGGACCGACCAACCTTTTAATGGGGCGGGAATTATCGCCCCTTCGCTCTCTTATTTCCTATTTTA